TTCAAAAGTCACTTTAAAAAAACCTCTCTTTCCCATTCTGATGCTTGTATTAAATTTCAGCAGGTTGTATCAGTCATGTCTACGTACCTAAATGCACTGAGTTTCTACCACATGATCGGCTGTTTATTTAATCATTTATTTTGTGAGTTGTTCTGAATTGTTGAGTCTGAAGCTATTAAAGCACAGATGGACAAAAAAGTGCCTGTATAGGTGGAAATTACAAATTGTATCTGCTCATGACAGCTACAGTCCATCACAAAGAGAAAGTGACACTGACCATTTTAATCTCTCCCTCTCTGTGTCTAATCCTGTGGATGCTGATCAGTGCACTTCACTATCTTCTGCTGTACGTCACTGCTCAAAATCCGCACCCTATTAATAGCCAATAAGCTATTAATTGTTCATTCACAAGTCATCTATAGGCCTGCTGACACAACTTCACCACCAGTGATGGATTTTAGCTATATTATGATTATTAATTATGCTGTGTCTTGTAAAGCATTAGTTATGCTTTACAACACACAGAGGTTCAAGTGTTCATAACTGTACAGCAATGTCACTTAATTCAAAAGCATAAACAGCAAAATCTTAAGTTTATATACTACAGTTTCAATCATTAGTAAAGGGGATTATTTGCCCATTATCCACTATGAAATGCTGGTATATTTCAGCTTGCCCTAAGACACTGGACTTGTCTCTTGAGTAATTGTTTTAAAGAAGCAACTCTTTCATTGAGTCAATTACTAAACAGCCCTATTTTATATTGATTAATCTGCTCTTTATCATGACTAAATGCTGCTTCAATGATTAATCTCACTTCTATAGTACACACTGAAGAGGGAGAGGCAAAGCAGAGATCCTCAGACCTATTTTTCCCAGCAAATGCCTAGTTGAGGAATCCAGCCTCTCAATTGTATCCTTACTTTACCTCGAGTCTCCTTCTGGTTAGACAAAACACCTCAACTGGCTCCTTTTCATATAAGGAGTAGCATCATTACTTAAAAGCTGTGCATGAGGTGCAAGAAGAACATGACTGCACATTCCTCGGCATCATAATAAGACATCTGTTTGAGTATGAATGTTATATGTGAGCACTTAGGCATAGAAAAAAGAGCTTATATGAATGGGTAGATTGAGTAGAGAAGTGTGACACAAGAATCAGTCTTTTGCCTTAAGCCTCTGTATTAATCTGCATTGTAAATAAAACTTTGAACTTTTCTTCAGAGCCCTGTGCTTGAGTCCAACTTAAACTAAGGTTATGACACAAGGGTGGCTCGAGAGGTAGAACATGTCATCTATAGATCTACTGATCCCTGGCTCCCCCAGTCTACATGCCAGTCTACATGCCACAAAGCTGCATTGGAGTACGAATGTGTGTGAATGTTAGCTGGAAAGCACTTAAAGCATACAAGAAAATACTTGTGTGAATGGGTGAATGTGGCATGTTGTATTAAGCGCTATATAAGAATCAGTCCATTTAGCAGAAGAGTACTAACAAAAGAACTAACAACCATTTTGCCACCATCATTTTTATAGGCTGACATTCAGGATAATTCATCACCTTTCACCTTTCCATCACATTTCCATAAAAGGATAGTTGTTGTTGAAGGTCTAGATGGGGCAATCGTGGCTCAAGTGTTGGCAGTTCGTCTTGTAATCGGAAAGTTGCTGGTTCGAGCCCTGGCTCGGACAGTCTAGGTTGTTATGTCCTTGGACAAGACACTTCACCTACCACCTACCGGTGATAGCCAGAGGGGCCGATAGCATGATATGACAGCCTTGCTTCTGTCAGTCTGCCCCAGGGCAGCTGTGGCTACAACTGTAGCTTGCCTCCACCAGTGTGTGAATGAATAGTGGAATTGTAAAGCGCTTTAAGGGTCTTGAAAAGCGCTATATAAATGCAATCCATTATTATTACATTGATAATGTGTTGATCTGGGGGTTCTCATAGAAAGAACATGATTCTCACCTGCATACAGTATTCCCAAGCACAGAAAAATGTAAGATATCATCAAAGGAAGTTAAATTCCTCTGTAACATTTTCCCAGAAACTGGGGTTAAGCCATACCCATTCAAGACAGCAGCAACCTGACTGACTAACAAGACCGAACTGCATAGTTCAGTGAAGTTCTACTGCAAAGGTGGAGCAAAGAATGGACTTCCTGTCTGGACAGTCAGAGAGAACATCTCAGAGAGGACAGTTCTCCTCGACTGAAGCACACATCGTGCGCTTCATGTCCTCGAAGTCCTTGTCAGGGCGAATGACCAGAAAGCAGATGTTGTGAAGGTGCCAATATATTAGCTTGCATGTACAGCTTACAGCACTGCCGTTTCACATCATCATCAACATAAAGATCATTTCTTAAGATATGACCCAAGTATTTCACTTTGCTCCCCACATTCAATACTTGGTCGGTTAAATAAAAAGACAATATTCCATCTTGTTCAGACACTACTAGATATCTTCCCAGTGGTCTAAACCACATGCTTTTTTTTAGAGGCATCCTCTCAATAACAAGTTGTACTTCTTCAGGTCGAATAATTTTGCCATTATTGAAACCAATTGTACTACTGTTAGTAAAATCTATTTCTTTCCAAAAAGCATACACCTTATTGTGCTGAAGCTCTTTTTTGCCATATAATTTGCCCTCATCATGCAAACATTCCTTTTAATGAAACAGACACTGTTCTTAAATTTAGCATTAGCAGTTTTTTTTATGTTCAAATTCAATGCCAGCTCTTGGCATGGCTCGTTCCAGCACATAATTTTCCGATACATGTTACACAACTCGTACCATATATCATAACAATTAACCTTATGACACAAAAGAACATTCCTTTGTACATTAATACTGTTCAGACTTCTATCCGTCAGTAAGTTGTACTGCCTGAGATCTTTGTCAGACACTTTTGTCCAAGCTAACTTCCTTTTATTTCCACTGTTGTCATAACGGATCGATTCTGGTACACTGTCAACAAATATACAGCAGGCAGTCCACTGGACACACAAGGCAATTAAGAGGCTAAACACAAGCTACAGGTACCTTGGTGTTCATCTGAACAATAAACTGGACTGGACTCATAATTCAGACGCCCTCTACAGGAAAGGGCAGAGCAGGCTGTACCTGCTGTGGATACTCAGGTCTTTTGGAGTGAAGGGCCCAATCCTGAAGACCTTCTATGACTCTGTGGTGGCCTCAGCCATCTTTTACAGTGTGGTCTGCTGGGGCGGCAGCATCCCTGCGGGGGACAGGAAGAGACTGAGCAGGCTGATCCGCAGGGCCAGCTGTGTTCTAGGATGCCCTCTGGACCCAGTGGAGGTGGTGAGTGACAGGAGAATGGTGGCTAAGCTGTCATCCCTGTTGGACAACATCTCCCAGCCCATGCAGGAGACTCTGACAGCACTGAGCAGCTCCTTCAGTGGCAGGCTGCAGCACCCACGGTGTGGGACGGAGCAGGTCTTTCCTCCCCACTGCTGTCAGACTCCACAACAAAGACTTTTGCAGCTGATCAAACACACACATCCACACATGTGGAATAAGACTAAGTGCAATACTCTTTTTCTGACAAAGTTGTATTTTTACTCAGTTGTATATAGCATTTGTATTCTATTTTTATCCTATTGTACATTTTATTTTATTCTATTGTATATAGTATTTTATTTTATTTTTTCTATTCTATTCTGTACAGCTGTGTACAGAATATTATTCTTATTGTATTCCAGTGTTCTCCAGTTTTTGCTATATAACTTTGCACTGTCCACTTTCTGCTGTGACAAAACAAATCTTCTCTTCTCTTCTCTTCTCTTCTCTTCTCTTCTCTTCTCTTCTCTTCTCTTCTCTTCTCTTCTCTTAAACGAGCAGGTACAGAAAAAACCTCCACAAAAAGGCCACAGATCTATTGCCTTGTTGGGATACTCTTCAGAATGGCTTCAGCCCAGGTCAATTCTTTATGGGGCTTCATTCCACTGTGCCAACCTTAGAAATGAGTCAATAAGTGCCAGCATATGCATGAGCTCTGCTACCATCCACCTGGGAAACAGATGTGGTTGACCAGCACCAAAGTGACAGGGACTGTAGTGTGTGAACATTCAACACCACTTACACTGAGCTGTACACCAGTTTATTACAATGGGGACCACAGTGTAGATCAGGCTGAGCAGTTTTCAAACCATGGAGAGTGGACCTGTAAATAAATAATGTGTAAATAAGAATTTATTCTTGGTTTGAAAAAAAAAATAATCAAAATGGTTCTACTTCAGTAGTGCCACTTTGATACCACAACAATCCTTATGTTAGTATGTATAATCAATTTGTTGCTATGTGAGGAGGGGCAGGGGATCCTCCGTGATGTTTTTTTGCAGTAGAGGGTTACAATGCTAGTAACTGCATGTCGCAGGCAATAAAAGCTCATTCGCTACCACTCATTTTCCTTGAATACAAACCTCTTAATAATCAGTACTTATTAAAACACCTAATATTTTTTTTAAACTATCCTAGATGAAAGTTAGAAATTTTAAATGCTTCTTCACACATTGTCACATGCATAGTCTGGAATAAACCTGTAATAAACACTGAGCTGATTACATGATTCTTATGTAATTCCTTCTTAGTGAAAGTGATGCTTTTTCTGCCATCTCCCTTTGTACAACCATCCCCAGTGTTCCCTAAAACTTAAAGGATGTGTTGAATATTATAATCATGTTTTATTGTGCTGATTGGTAGTGCTAAACAGCTGTCAAAACCAGACTATATTTTGTGCTTTAGTGCGGCTCTCCTGTATATATCCTTCCCGTATATACATGTGTACAGAGGAGGCTTCCCACAGTTACAGCGTGGTCCTCTGTACCACCCAGTAAAACATGGAAGCGCGCCAGACTGTAAGAAGGCTGGCTGTTGATTTGATTTGGCTCCCTGTAAAATATCGCAAACCTAATACAATCGCGTGAACTCGGTGAACTTCTCTCGTGCACTGCTGTTAGTGCGCGCGCGTACGCTGAGGCAGTAGGAGCGCGTGCAGTCAGTCCCAGGGGACGATGAATATGCGGAGGTAGACTACGTTTTACTCACTCTCCCTTCAAGTGGGTTTGAGGTTTTCGTACCATTTTTTAAGTGCAAGTAGGAGGTGATGTTAAGCTTCTGGCGCGCACACAGATGTGTTTCTAAAAGCCTACACTGCGGTAGAATGAGCGACTCATTTACGACCTTCTACTATGACGGAAACTTAAATTCAGCTGAATGACTTTATGGATTAGCGCGTGCTGGGGAGGACTGGCTATGTAACTGACACGGGGATTAATCAAGCTCGTCCAAACCGCATCCATCCATCTGGAAGGAACGTTAGTCTCTGCAGACTCCGTTCTTCTCCATTCATCCGTTACTATGTAAGACAATGGTACCAGTTCCTCTGCAAAAACACGCGCGGTTGCTTAGTTTCTGATGCTTGGCTGTGAAACAATCAGTCGATCAGCACCAAAACCCGGTTTTCTCCATTTCATATGGGCGAAGACGAAGAGTGCTCCAGCGCCCCTTCACGCCGCGGAGGAAATGCAGAGAACGGAAAGAGCGGAGCCGCTCTGGACCCAGAAAGAGAAAAGAGGTATGCGGAGCTGTTCGAGCAACTGGACTTGAATAAAGATGGCAGGGTTGACATCAATGAACTGAAGACCGGGCTGGCAACTCGTGGTTTACAACTCCGAGAGGCTGAGAAGGTGAGCAGGTGTTTTTAATGCGGCACAGGCTGAGGCAGACGCACGCGCACGCAGTACGTGAACTAGTTTATAGTGTTTGTAAAATCTTAAGGGTAAAGAGTGTGGAAATGGTTTCTTCTATATTTTTTTATAGTTTAAGTTATCTTTGTGTGTTTGTGATGTCTTACTGAGGACACTCGACGTCAACGTGGTATGTCCTCCAGTTATGTCTCTGAACAGAAGAATGAATAGAAGAAAAGAACTAACTTTTGAAATCCTGATCGTAAAGAAAAATAATATAAGGATTGAGCTACTTTATGCTGGGGAGTCTAACAGCTGCATCCCCATTTTAAACCAATGTCAGAATTGGCAACAGTCTGTTGAAATAAATCAACTTTGTCACACATTTAGCAATAAGTCCAAGTTTAATGACATCGCTCAGTTTTTCTTGGACTCAGTAAATGAACTTTTTCTTCATTAGCCATTCAAATAATACAGGGGAAGCTATACGCTTTATATATGGACTTCTGAAGATCCACAAGATGCATGTGGGTTATACCCATGAAAACCTTGCCAATCTTCTCTGCCAGTGACAAAAACTTATTCTGCTACTGACTCTTGTTGGGTGCTGTTTATTGAGTTGGATAATTGAAGACATATTGGCAAATAAAGAATTTGTTAATTTAATAAGCAAGGGCCTCGGTATCATATGGAAGAACTATACAGCCTGGCACCTCCCCCTCATGCTGGTCACCAGCTTGGTCACACACTGCTGTGGGATGGCATTCCGTTCTGCAACTAGTTTTTTTGCAAGTCAGCCTGTGTGATTGTGTTAGTCATTCTGGCTTGAGCAACATGTCCAAGCTGATCCCACAAGTGTTCAATGTGGTTGAGATCAGGACTGCAGGTAAGCGATAGCATCCTCTCCAAATTCTGGTGGTAGTGTCTAATAAACTCCACTCTGTGGGGGTGAGCAGTGTCAAAGTTCAGTCCCAGACTGTTGAGATATAGGATTGCCATAGAGATGGCCTCCAATGATGATAAATCTTGTTTTTACAGTGAGGGAGATGCCGCTGAACACAATCACACTCTCTCCAGCAAAAGCTGTTACCAATGATTCTCTGCATCTTCTCCACACTGTGATCCAACTGCCATAGGCAGAATCTGGACTCGCATAAGGTTCCTCCACATTTTCAGCTTCCAGTGAACATGTTGTCAAAGCAAGAGTCAATAGCAGACTAAGGTGTTTAGTATTGGCAGAGAAGTTTTGGTAAGTTTTTCATGGACTCATCCCACATACTCAACTCTGCTATTCAACCCACAGATATATTTTCCTTACAAATGTGGCACCATTTAAAGTGAAATAACAGGCTTTCCAGTATAAGATTTATCGCCAATTAATGTTACAACAAGAAACAATTGAGCATGCACACATTTTCTTACTCTTTAAGAAAGTTTAGTTGTGTTTGCCTCAAGACATAGCTCAGGTACTGAAGCTGGGCTTTACTTACCTTACTTACTGTACCTCTGTACTCTGCACTGTAGACTGCCTCCACGTGAACATATTTCCCCGATGCTTGCCTCTTGTCACTGGCTCTCTGTTCACTTCTGAATTGGTTGATTGATTTTAAAATTTTATTGTTGACTTACAAACCCTGGAATGGACAGGATCCTGGGTATTTGTCTAACCTCTTGCAGCCTTATGCACCCTCTAGATCTCTTAAATAAAATTATCTTTTTAACACAATATGAAACTTATTTGGTACTAATGTTATAAGTTACAAGTTATTTGGTACGAGCTATTTTGTACTTCTGTACAGCACTTTGGTCAATGTTTCTGTTGTAGTAAAATGTGCTATACAACTAAAAAATAACTTGAACTTAAACGTGGGAGACGTTCAGTTAAGTTCAGTGTAATTTTACAAATTATTTAGATATTTACATTACAGATCGTTAAGGTAAAATATATTTTTGTCATGGTCCCTGGGTCTTGGACACAGGGTTTTGATCTTTTTCCTGGATCATGATGTATTTTTGGGGTGTTGAGACATGATTTATGTTCAATTGTTATATTTAGTCCTTGAGTGTGGTATTATTTCTCAGTGCTCCTGAGTTAGTTTTCTTTGCTTCTTGTCGCCTCAAAGCGCTTTATATTTTAAAGTAAAGACCAAAAGTACAAAGAAAAGAAAGAAAATCCCAACAATTATATGACCTACTATGAGCTTTGATGACAGTGGGAAGGAAAAACTCCCTTTTAACAGGAGGAAGCCTTCAGCAGGATCAGGCTCAGGGAGGTGTGGCCATCTGCCGCGACCGGTTGGTGGTGAAGGATAAAGACACACTGTTAAAGAGAGCCAGAAATTTATGATAAATAATAATTAAATGCAGAGAGGTGTCTAAACATACTGAGTGAGAAAAGTGACTGAAGAAGAAATACTCTGCATTATGGAAATCGCGCAGCAGCCTTTACCTATTGCAGCATAACTAAGGGAGGATTCAGGGTCACCTG